TACTATACTATACTATACTATACTATACTATACTATACTATACTATACTATACTATACCATACTATACTATAAAGACTAGCCTACCTAGTAATGGAATGTCTCATGTATATGCTTCACGACCACAACCCCCATATTTAAGCCCGTTGGGCCTGTGAACGAGACCAGTTCGGGTGAGGTTGAACCTCATTTTATTCCAGTTCAGCTGGGATGAGAATACCTTTTTGGAGGAAAGGATGAATGAAATTCAATGTCATCATGAGACCTATTGCTATGATTGTAAAAAAATGCATCATCAATCCCTTATCACCACTTTGTGCAACATGGGGTGAAAAAAGTTGCTCTAGTATTTTGTTGATTCTTAATCAGGACGCAAGGTCCCTAGAATCTGCGAGTGTTAACAGCTCCAATTTACATTAATTGCTGTCCACCTTATGCAAGGTTATGCTTGAAGTCATAGATAAGTGAGATTGTCTCCAACAAAATGCATGATTAAAGGCACACAGTAAAGCCGACATTCGGCGTGTTTTAATCGGGCATCTTCAACTCGGCCCCCAAAACGCCTTCTTGTTGACAAGCCACTGGATACTCCTTGAACTGAGGCTTTCCTATAGCCTCGGTACTCATGTAGTCAAGGCCTGCTTTGTTTCTGTGTCGACAAGAGATACTTATCATGTGAAGAAAGGACTCTATGTTGTGCTGTTTGTATGGCCCCTGTTCGGCAGGGCCCGGCCTAGTTGCCATATACGCAAATGGCTCACTTACCATCAGTGGAAGCAGCAAAACACGGCATTATCCTCTGAAATGTTGACAAGACCAAATGTGCCACCCTGCCAGGCGATCTAAAAAGCCGGCTTGGACGGGCATCATCTTGATAAAGTATCCAGACTTGGCTGAGCCTCGGCTCGGAGGAGGGGAGAGCAAGAAGCGGGTTGATGCGCCCCGCTGTTGGGACCGGTGTTTGCAACATCACCATCGCTTGGAGTCCAACCTCCTTTCTTTCCCTCCCTCCCCCCCTCCCCCTTCCTGTTCCGGAGGCAGCCTCCAAGGGTGTCTGAGAGTTTGTTCACACTCACATGTCCCCAAAGTGCCAACCACTTGCAGTTGACTAGGTCCATTTCCCAGCAAGCACTCGATCGGTCTGAGTTGCCCGAGTTACTCCGGTTGCCTGGGCGAGGCTGGAAAGGCCAGCTTAAGAATCCAGGGCATAGTTCACTAGTTCGAGTCCGACAATTTGTATCAAGCTGTCTAAGCTCTGTCTGACACCTTATCGAAGGATTCTTTTTAATTCACCCAGAACGAGATTGGTCACTGCAAGTGTACGGGAAAGTCTCTGAAGTGGGACATTTAAACAAAAATAATGAGGTATGAAGACCAAGATG